TAAAAGGACATCATTCCTTAAGGATGATTCCATCCAGCATCAGTCAGACTGCTCATCAAGTTCACACATAGTCCAGAATTTCTGTCTTCACTTCATTGTCACTCCCATTACAAGGCTTGAAGCCTTCCTCCTCCTCCTCACCTGCCTCAGCCTCCTCACCCTCATCTCTCTGCAGGCTCATCAGGCAGCTGCCTTTGGCATCCTCACTGCTTGTTGTATTTGTTAAGGAGAGTGAAGGGAATGGACAGGATATAAACAACAGGCTTTGAAGTCTGCCCCTAACAGAACACTCAGCTGCCAGTGCAACACCTTTGCACATTCAGTCACAGAGCTTGTCCCAGGTTGGACTTGGCTCCCAGCCAAGTGCCCGGACCACAGGGACAAAACCTTCCCCCCTCCCTCTCCCTCTCTCACAGACAACTGAAAAAGATCATGAAAAAGAACTCAAAAGAACCCAAACTGAACTGAATTTCAAGGGGAACATTTATATATATAAATGGAATTATATACGCTATTACACTCACACTCACAAGGAACCCCCCAAAAGGGACAAGGGAAGGGAAAGGGAAAAGGGAAAAAAAAGGATTAAAAAGGGATAAAAAGCAAATACTTCACTCAAGAGAAACAGCGAACCACACCAAACAGCCGCTGGCACTCTTTGCCTAAGGCCAAGTAGGCGGACCAGGCCTCACTCCCTCACCCGGGCAGAGCGACAGCAAAGCTACCTTTGCCTTCGATCCGCTGGAAGAAAGAGAGTGAGAGCTTCCTCTCTCTTCTTATTTATACTCTTGCTTACGTAAAAATCGTATGGATTACTGGGAACATGGCCTTGGTTCCTTGGTTACAACCTGGTCACCAAGGAAGGCCTAGTCTCAAAACCACTACAAGCTAGTAGAACATCTGCCATAAGGGAGTAGGGCTTCTTATGGAAAATGTAGATGGATGCCACAGTCAGTTCCTGAGCGATGATCAGCAACAGGTCAGGACTGGTTTGTATTCACCTGTTGCACCTGCAGCTGTCTAGGAGCTGGTTGGTATGAGCAGGGACACTGATGGTAACATGGGGATATCCAGTCAGGACTGGTGCTGGGATCTCCTCGCCATCGTACAGGTATTTATTCAGGAAGTCGAGTCCCTGGCTCCCTCCCACCAGGAAGGCACCACCATAGATGAAGACCATCATAGGCAGTTTGGTAGAGACTGTGAGGTGAGCAAGGGCAGCAGAGTGAGCCACAACAGAGCCAGGAGGTGCAGCCTCTCCATCCCCTCACCCGCTCCCTGAGCATCACTGCACCTGGGCAGGAACAGACTCTGCAATCACCTGTGGCCAAGAAAATCCTCGTTCTGCACAAGAGGCTGAACCTCCAAAGAGGCTGCAGCTTGGGCTCATTGCCTGACACAGTTCCCACCTTTCCCCAT